AAGTCAAGAGCTCACAAATATAGGGTATACTTGTTTAGGAGAAGTGAATAACTATGAAAGATTGAAATCAAATGAATAAAAACTGTATTCTGACAATGTAATTCATAACCAAATTCAAAACAAAATAAAATAACATAAGAAGATAGAGAATGTGCAACTTGTTATATTGCTATTTCACAAGTTCCTCTTTTGTGGCCTTCGATACCACACCGACTGCACTTATGGTTCTTGGACCTTTGTGATCCTTGTGACGATCGTATCTTGCCTTCAATTGTTTCGTGTCTCTGTTTCCTTCGTCTACCTGCAGTTCTTCGTGTTTCAGGTGGTAGAACTTTAGCAAGTTTAACATCCTTTGGAACACGCCATGCATCTTCAGGAACATCTATTGGATTAATGCTTTCTTCATAAATCGATCTCCATGCAGCTGTTGTATACCTTTCATCTGTGAGTGGGTAAACTTTCTTACCTACTGAAAAGCTACACTGATTGCGTGTCTGCAGAGAATCTTCACCACAAAAACAAGTTCTACTGCCTAAATCAACTGTGCAGTCAAATTTGTCGCCTTTAACTTGAAATCTGTTGTGGTCAACCGGGAAAACAATAAATGTTTTACCCTTCTCAATCCTTCTTGCTATCTTTTTCTCCACTTCAATGGTTAAAAGATGCTTCTGTTTTGAGCTTAAAATTCTACACTCATAAAACCACCTGGTTAACATCTCTCTGATGCTATCCAACAAAGGAATTACTGGATATTCTCTTGGTTTCACCAAAGCAGCATTTATCGATTCAGCAGGGTTATTGGTCCTAACATCATACCTGAAACCGGAAAATAGACAACGAGCCTATTTTTTCACATCAGCATCTTGTAGATATTTTCCAATGTCTGGACTAATATTGCAGATATCTTTGAAATATCTCTCAAAATCAGCAATCCTGTATGCTCTTGAAGCCTTTGCAACGAGGCCAGTCAAACCCTTTCCTTTGAAATATGCTACCACATTATTCAGCAAATGGTGAATGCAAATTCCATGTCTAGAACGAGGGTACACTTTCACGAGTGATTTTTCGATTGAGGAATTTCTATCTGACACAAAAACCAAACTATCCTCATATGCAATGACAACCTTTAGTTGCATTAAAAACCACTCCCATGACTTGTCATTCTCTGAATCAACAACCCCAAATGCAATTGGATACAAATTAGAGTTATCATCTAAAGATGTAGCGACAATTAGAGTTCCTTTGTATTTACTCTTCAAATACATACCATCAATAACAATGACCTTCCAAATAGCTTTGTAGAACCGTCTTATAGACTGACTGAAAGAAACAAAACGATATCTAAATCTACCATCGTAATCAGTTTTGTAATCAGTATGCGTACCTGGATTAGCTTCTTTTAGCATGTGCAAGTATTTTGGTATTCTTTCATAGCTTTTCTCTGGAATACCTCTAACAGCGTTAACTGCATACTCACGGGACTCCCATGCTTGGTTATAAGAGATCTCACAACCATGGTCCACACGCATAATCAGTATAATATCATTCGGTTTAGACCCTTCTTTCGCATCCTCATACTTGTGCATAATCAGATTGCCAATTGTTTTTGCTGAAGTTGTCCTACCGGATTTGTTTTTCTTTGAAGGAGCACATGTATGTTTAGCCACATACTTGTTGATTTTGAAATAGGAAGATCCAATTAAAGACTCCGCGCAAACAGCCCAATTGCATATGTTATCTGTGCAGTGTATACTCCACCATCTTGTAGTAGATTGTACAACCCTGTAGTCAAAGTTATACTTCATTGCACAAATCTCCAGAGTTGCCTTCAAAACATTTTTGCTTCCGAAATGTTATCCCTTCTTCAAACAGTCCGCTGACCAAAATTGATCTTCATTTTGATTGTCTTCTTTGTTTTCAGACATTCATCATCACCATCAACATCAACATCATTCACCTTAGTCACATTCACAAATTCTTCTAATTTTTTCAGGCAACTTAACATCATCTTCTCCAACACTTGAATAAGATGGTTCCTTATTCAAATCAATATTGACTCTACCTTTTCCATTGTCAATTGTAGCTGTAAATGTCACATACAATTGTACCGACAAATACTTCTTTGCATATCCAACAAAATTTCTCACTTGTCGATCATTGGTGATAACAACTGGGGGTGATCCTAAGGTACTGATCAACTCGCTAGGTAGATAGCTGAACTCGATATAACTACTGCTCTTTTCAATCCCGTAGTCCTTTAAAACTATCGTCTTCAACTCGTCAAGACTAGTAATGGATTCCAAATCAAGTAATATACCTCCTTTATTTTCTTGATCAATGATGAATTTCCACTCCTGGTTCACATCCGAAATCCATACACCACATTTTATATAGATGTGCCGCATATTAAATGAACAAAAGATGCAGAGAGAAGAATGAAAAAAACCCTAGAAAAAGAGAGGAGGTAGAGAGAATGGGTTTGAAAGAGAAGAGATTTTTATTATTTTTCGTTTTTACTTATATAATTAGAAGAGCAAACCTCGAACCGATCGGTTTATATATGACAATGATCGGTCTAACAAGATTTCTTTGCTAGGATTTTGACGCCACTTTTGAAACCGATCGGTTCCTATTTGAGACCAGTCGGTTCCAAAAGTGGCGTCAAAATCATTGCCAAATTTTTCAAAGACCGATCGACTCAGTTTCTACTAATTTGATGGTTTAGTGATTCAAATCAAACTCTGTTTGAATACTTAACAAGAAATGTTATCGACATTGCATCCGCCGCATTCTCTCACTCTCCTCCCTCTCCGAAGATTCCACGGCCTTAAAACAATCGTATCTGCAGCTTCCACTTCCCCCGCGACGACGACCTTCGACGCTGCTTCCGTCTCTCCTCCACAATCCCAGATTCTCAACACTCGTCGCTCCCTCCTCTCCGGCGAAACCACAGCTTCCGAGCTCGCAAAATCATACCACTGAAGCTTTTGCCTTTCAGGTTTGTTCTTATAAAGAAGAAAGTTTCAGTATTTTTCTTGATTGAAAACTTGTGATTGGTTTAGGGATTTGAATTTGATCTTCGGTTTGATTTTGGTTAAAGGGAACCGCGAATCCATGGGACTTGAACCATGTTCCGGGAGGTTCATCAAGAGGCTCAGCAGCAGTTGTTGCAGCAAGACAATGTATGGTGTCTCTTGGTAGTGATACTGGTGGAACTGTGAGACTGCCTGCTTCCTTCTGTGGTGTCGTTGGTCTTAAGCCAACTTATGGACATGTCTCTAGGTTTGGACTTATGGCTTATGCGTCTTCATTGGATGTGATTGATTGCTTTGGCTCCACGATTGCTGATTCTGGAATGTTTCTTCATGCCATCTTTGGGTATGATAAGTTCGATTCCACGAGTAGCAAACAAGTAAGGCTTTGGTGTTTTTTTTGGTTTTCCTGCATTTTTATGAGAAATCAAGAAAGATCTCTTCTTTTGAATCAATAAGAGTCTTCTTGGCTGTGTTTAGGATGTGCCTGAGTACCAATCACTGTTTCTTTCTGTGGATTCATTCGAATCTAAACTGTTGAAAGGAGTGAAAGTTGGTCTGATTCTTGACACGATTGAAGAAGGTGTTGATTCTGGAGTGAGATCTGCAACTCAAGAAGCTGCTTCTCACTTAGAAGCATTGGGTTGTGTAGTGACAGAGGAATTTATTTTTTTCTCTTCCTCTCTGTTTCGTCTTTGTGTACAACGAAGAATCTGAGATTTATATTTACAAAAATTTACAGGTCTCTCTTCCTTCATTCTCTTTTGGATTACCAGTTTACTATGTGATTGCCTCATCTGAATCATCTTCGAATTTATCACGTTATGATGGTGTCGGCAAAATTCTGATAACATATTGACGGCAATTTTAAGACCGATCGGTCCTAAATGAAACCGGTTGATCATTGTTCATTCGAGAAACTGGGCTTCAAATGATAGCATGGACCGATCGGTTGTGAATGCAAACAGATCAGTCTAAAAAACAAATTTTTAATACATCGGACAAGATTTTTCCATAAAATTTTCCAGATTTTTATAGCTGGTTGGTAGAACACATATTCTACATTTCGCATAAGAAAGACAGAACGATAGAATATGTATTATAAATCTGATAGAAAAATGAATAAACGGTAGAAAACACATTCTACTGTAGAAAACAACTTATACCGTTTAGTAGACGACAGAATAAATGGTAGAATATGTATATCAACTATTGGTAGATGATAGAACAAACAGCAGAATACGTATTCTACCAAATCGTAGATGGTAGAATATGAATCTAGATTTCTGTAGAAAAAAAGAAAATTAGTTTTTCCAAACAATTTTTTCATAAATGGATAATTCTTTGTTTTATGTATTTTTCGAAATACAAATTAATTTTTTTAGATTTTAAAAATAATTTATTGGCATTTTTAAATTTTTATATAAAGATAGTTTATTCAAAAATTGACAAAAGTTAAAAAATTTTTACCTATTTACACAAATTTCTCTTTTAAGTTATAACCCATCTTCTCTTATTGTATATCGAATATATATCTAGATTTTTGTTTAAATTGCATGATTTATTGGTGAGTGTATGCGCCTCAAAGGAATAAAAACAAACTTTCACTCGTGTATGGTTTGGACTTTGGATCCATTAATTTATTTATTTTCATAGTAAATCATAGATTTTTAAGTAAGGGTTCAAGTTTAACTAGAATTTAGAACTGACTCCGCCAGAATTTATAGAAATAAATAAAAGCGACTAAATATGGATAAACAATTTGTTTGGACAGAAATTTCAAATTCTCCAAAAATTTGGCTTTGGCATACCACGTAAATTCTTTTGGGCCGGTCAGAACAAGCTCGAATTGAAACCCAGTAAAAACATTAAACCAAAGAACCAATCGGTTAAGTTACTAAACCGAAATTACTCTCAGAAAATTAACAAACCAGCTTCCCTTTTTGCCTCTCCTCTTTAAACCTCGGAAACATTTCTTGCCGGAGCTCCGTCACTCCTTCTCTTCTTAAACCACCAAAACCCTCTTTTTTGCTGAGCTTTTAGGAAAGTATCTCGGAAATGGCCATCGGGCGTCTGCTTTCGCCCAAATCAACTCCGCATTTCAACAGCAAAGGTGATAACAGAAAAACCCTTTTTTTCCCTGAATCCTTGTGTTTTTCAGTTTCGTGGGGGTTTAATCGATACTGATGGTTCTGGGAATTTGAAAATTTCTGTTTATAGGTTTCATACCTGTAACGAGGAGGTTGTTTTCTTCTTCCCTGGAGGATGGCCGGAAATTTCAGAGTTTGCCGGATTCTAACGCTTCCGCTAACAAGTGAGTACATCTCCGTTTCTTGATTGGATTATTTTGGAGTGTAATTCGAGAGGTTCTGTGTTCATTCGATATAAAGAAGAAAAAAAAAACCCAAACTTGGGAGTCAAGAGTGATGGAAATGGCAATTAGGTTGGAATCTAAAATGAAGCTACTTTTGGTTTCATACATCAACTTTACTGATTAGGGTGATGAACTGTTCTTTCAATCATACTATTTGATGGGTTTCTCTTGGATATGTAGAGATGTTTGTGAAAAGCGAATGCATTGGTACTCTTTGGGAGGCTTACTGACTAATCTAAAGCAAAAGATTACGGGGAACATGCTCTTATTCAACAAAACTCCACCTCAAGACTCGGTTTCGCTGAAACCACCCATGGTTTCCTCAGTAGATGTGACTGTTACTAAGGTGGTCAGCTTGCAGAATGTTTCACAAAACAAAAACTCTATCCCTCCGAGTGTAAAGGAAGAATCTTTAGCCTCTGAAATGGGATCTCAAGACGCATCTCAGAGTGTAAAGGAGGAATCTTTAGTCTCTGAAATGGGATCTCAAGACGTATCTCAAAGTGATTCTGGTAAGAGAGAAAGTGCATCTGTAAATAAAGAGAGTTTAGATAGAAATAGTAGCATAGACGGTTTGAAGGTCGAACAGGAGACTGTGTTGAGGTTGATACAAGCTGAAAGAGTGGATCTCCCTGAGGAACAAAGTTATAAAGATGTCTCTGTAGGTTTGTTGAGTGAAGAAGCATGGAAAAGTCAGGGGAAGTTGCAGCCTGAGAAAGAGCAATCCGATCAAAAGAAACCACCTCAGAATACACTCTCGAACATGTTTGTAAACCAGGATCCAGATAAGGAGGTTAAGCTTCGTCCGAGATTTGAGGCATTGAGTAACAGTAACTCCAGTTTGTCTACAGGAGAATCCTGTAGTGATGCGGGTGATCAACACGGCCTAATCGGTAAGATTTCGTCTGATCCTGTCCAGAGAATGGAAAATGATAAACACAGGTCTTCAGCTTTGTCTTCCTTTCTACTAAGCGGTGCGAGTCATGAACAGAAGGGTGGAGACTTGACTGCTGTTATAGAAAAGAAGACTGCATTTCCATTTGGAAGTTCTAGAGGAACCGTACAACCTGTGACAGTGAGTAGAGACTCGAGCATGAAGAAGTTGCTGGAGTCCCTGACCGAGAGAACTGACAATAGCAACTCGTGGGAAATAAATTCTGTAACTAATAAAAGTGATATATTTCGTGCGAAGGAGGAAGAAGAATCCAAGAAGGGAACTTCAGTGATGCAAAACCAGTCATTGTGCAGTCAGGCCACCTTAGATGCTGCTGCTGCTGCTACCACTGCGAATCCAGAGTTAACAGAAAAGAGTTCGGTCGCAATATCTATTGGAGAGCAATCTCCTAACAAAGTATTGCTAAGGTTTTTACATGGAAGATTCGATAAGCAACTCATTGTTGAAATTTTTTCCAAGTTTGGAGCCATTTTGGATGTACAAAAAATTCCCTCTTTCGAGGGGTGCATTTACACAGATGCTCTCTTGACTTTTGAGGTTAGACTCGAGAAACGCTTAAGCATTGTCTTCTTTTGTTTAAACGGTTCCTACTTTAAAGAGTGTTTCTTTCTGCTGCTCACCTGTCTCTTTTGCTTCCGTATTTTGTAGACTAACTCGGCAGCCGAGAAGGCTCTCAAGAAAGGTGTCGTGATGGTGAGCCATTACAGTGCGATTATTGAGGCAGTATCTCAGCAAGACATGGTAGAAAAAATATGCATCCCGGATCTAATCGGAGATCAAGATGTGCCTGTTGCGTTGGTGAAGGAACCAACAAGAACAGTCAAGATTCATCCGCTGAGGGGCGATATAAGTTCAAATGAGATCAAAGAAGCGCTAAGGTTCTGTGGGAGCGACATATCTAAGTTCATCATGGGTTCATCAAAGACAGCTGCTTTCTTGGAGTTTGAGGTCCGGTTTCTATTGTGTAGCTACATCTTGGTTATTACTCAAAAAGTTAAATGCCAAAGATAATATCTAATTTGTGTTACAGACGGAAGAAGGCAAAGAGAGAGCACTTGCAGAGCACTCAATTAGCGTATTGAACAGACAATTGTTCATCTCTAGGATTGATATACCGAGGACAACCGTTGCAAGGATTTCAAACATAAACTCAGCGTGGGGTGGCATACGGAAACTGTGTGTAACTTACGGACAGATCAACCAGGTGATTCCGAGAGGAAACGGTATTGCAGATGTGCGTTTCGATGTCTCTGAGTGGCCAAACATGCTCACCATTCTCAACGGGTACAACACACGAGAACCACACATCCGTTTTCTGAACATGTAACAGAGTGAAAACTCTTGACCGTTTTGTGTGTTTCTTTATGAACAGATTGAATGGTAAGGAGATAGATGGTAAGAAGTTGGTGGTTCGACCAGCAACAACAGTCATACCTCATGAGATTCTCAAGGCTTTGTGGGAAGACCCTCAAGGCAAAAGATATGTGAAAGGTTTGTTTCAAAAGCTGGTGAGAGAGATTGAACAGCCTTTAGATGCAACCAGTAGACATACGCATGTGATGAATTTACTATTATAGCTTCATCAGTTTTAAAGATTAGAGGCTAGAGTAGAGCCATTGTTTTGGTATGACATATCTATCAAAAGAAAATGTAATGACCTTACAATGGTTAAGAACTTAAGAATGAAGACAATGATATATATCTAATGATTTAAGACTGTAGTTGTTAAAACGTTACGAGGTTTAACATATTTGTAAAAATGTTTAACAAGAGAGTTATAATAGGAATCTTATTTTTTTCATTGTAATTTGTCAAACAATTTCAATATCAAGGTGATGAATCTTCATGAAGATTTCCCTAAAAAACTAAAAAAACCGTATCTCCCGCGTTTGCCAGTAAAAACGACCGTAAGGTGACAAAGAGAAGCTTAATATAGGATTGTATAAATTCTATAGGTTCCAAATAAAGGGGTCATCTTCTGGTTATCCGTTGACTTACAACTTCTACATCCAATAATCATCAGCCACGTGTCTACTAGGCATATGTAAAAAAAGAAATAGACGAGAAACCAAAAAAGAGCCTTTGTGCTCAGAGAAAAGAGGACACAATTTGAGATTTCTTTTTTTTCCTTACGTTACCTTCCCTCTTCAACTCGAGACCCATAACAAAATAAGAAACAAGAATATAACAGAAGTAGAGAAAAAAAAAAACCTTTTGATTCTTCCTGAATCAATTTGGAAACACATTTCGTTTTAAAGTTTGTAACCAGGTAAGTTTCCTTATGATAAACTTTTATCTTGCCTTATTCTGTTCTTCATCTTCAATTAAAAAAAAATGGTAGTATTATTCTTCTTGTTTGATTAATTATACATTCCTCTTATATTTGCAGAAACTCTTAGCTCTTGGAAATCTACATGATTCACTTTATTTGTTAATAGGATTTTAATCTCCTCTCCATAAAAAAATGTAAGTTCATTTTAAAACACTTTTTTATTTTTTAATAGGCGACTCACCCGAAAACAATTTCTTTGCATTGTAAAAACCTTATGTATAACACGAGTAGAGAAATTGTAAGAGAAAAAGGTGAAGAATCTCTTAAACAAAAACATTAGATTTACGTGAGAACAAAAAAAAAAGGTTTTTGATTTTTCTTGGTGTGCAAGTTAGGTATGCAGCTGCAAGTTGAACATGACCTCACCGATGAAGGGTCTATTGAAAGGGTTGAGGTACATTGCTCGTATCTTCGGTGAGTTTCAATTATTAAATTTTTAAACCAACTGATATATATACATGCAATCACCAAGAAAAATCATATATTAAAATCAAATGTTATAAAAATTTGTTGTAGAGGATGAGAAAGAACCAGAGATGCAAATTGGAAAACCTACCGATGTCAAACACGTTGCTCATATAGGATGGGAAGGGCCTTCTGCTACGACCCCAAGCTGGGTATAAACATCTCTCTCTAGCTATATATATATATAGAATTTGCTTGTGGATGTGTTCATATGTTTTCATGGGAATTTTTGCAGATGCATGAGTATAAGTCTCCAATGGGTGAGGCAAAAGGAAGTTCCAACAAGAAACCTGCGAGTTCCGGGGAGAGGCAAAGGAACAAAGGGAGGCGTAAAGCATCCACAGGGACAAACAACTCGCCTGCAGAGTCTCCAACAAGGGCAGGAGGATCAACAAGGCCATCAAGACGCGGCACGGGTAAACAAAGAGAGCAGAGCAACGGTTCAGGATCAGAAACAGGCTCAGCGTTAGATTTACCACAGCAGAATGATGGACCGAAACAATCGAGGCAGAGAAAGTCAAAAGCGTCGACAACAGGAGGAGGAGCAGGCGGTGAACCTGCTCCTCCTAATTCTGTTGGACCTGGAAAGTCGAAGGAGACTGATATATCGGTGCGTGCTGTTTATCCATGTGTGGGTGGTCTTGGGAGTTCTACAGGGAGATGAGAGATGAGAAGAAAGAGAGTTTGTTTTCTTCAAGTTTAGACTAGAGTGGGTGGTTTTGCTTTTCTTCTCATAATCTACACACTTTTGTCTTTTTCTCTCCCTTCTGTTGGAGATGTCTTTGCATAAACAAGACCAATGTATTTTTTTTTTATTAAGCGATTTGGGTCGAGATGAGAGAACCCTTTGATGATTATGGTGAATAAGGGATGGATGTGACACATATGCTTTGCTTAATGATTTCGATCACTTTAAAACTACTCTCAAGCTACCTCTCTATTGTGTTCTTAGGATGCAATATTGTATTTAGTATTCAATTAGTATAAGCTTTCTTTTGTTGAAACCATACTAAAACTTTTACAATATTAAACAAAACTCATTTATAAAATTGTAAACATGTACAACAGCAAAAGTTGTTTCTATACGTCTACAAACATAATACTAAAAGGACCTTCTACATGTTTATATACGTCTAGAAAGTTGAATGAAACTCTATTTTAACCAAGTTCTTTTATAAATAAAAATTGGTACAAGCTGTTTTTTTTTTCTTTTATCCTAATAATTATATTTTTTCTAGTGTGTTGTGTGTATATGTAGATTAAAATCCCAAATTATGCGTGCGTGAGTACAAAAAAAAAGTGTGTTAAACAAAACAAATCGCAAAGAGGAAAAGTACATTCTATTTGCTCAAAAACACTTATTCAAACGCTAATACAATGCATATTAACCCCCTTTATATAATATGGAGTTTAAATCAAACAGTCTTCAATCTTCTAAGAAAAGGGTAAACCTCATACCTAAAGTTACAGCTCGTACTCAAAACTCTCCCTCCTGGTTTACCGTCGCAACACTTTGGAAAATCCTTCAAAATCCATTGCAAACAGTCAAGGCAAGTTTTGAAAACCAAGTCTTTCGTACACTGGACCATTGCGTACAGATTCGTCGTCCCAAACTTCTTCTGCCCGGACGCGTACAGCACCAGCGAGTCGCCGTCAAAATTATTTGTATCGGTGGCTTTTAATGTCAGATTCTCCAGGAGAGCCGACGTCTCTTTATTGAACAACGCTGGATTTCCACTTAGCTTCTTCGGGCTGGATATGATGAATTTGTTTTGGTAATCGACTTTCCCGTAGGCATGGACCGTAGATATCCTGAGAAGACACAGGTCGTACCATATTATTGCACCCTTGTTTCCCGGACACCTCCTACGAAGCTGCCACATATATATATATTGACACCAAGATCAAGGACAATATTGCATGGACTAGTATACTTACAAGATATACTCTTTCGTTTTTTTTTTTGGGGTACTAACCATAAATGCTTATTGGTTTTATCTCAGTTCAGATCCATCTAAGATGTAACAAAATAATACATTTATTCATGTAACTCATTTATCATGGGCATTATTCTCTTTATATGTTTAGGGTTCTCCATATTTATATGTTTTCTAACATATTGGGCCCTAATAAAAGTATGATATAGTTTATGTAAAAAAAACCCTTGGGCATGTGCAAAAGCATTCTTGGCCTATATGCGTAGAACCGGGCATGCATGTAAATATGTGAAGCGACGTTACTTACCCCGGCGATGGCGGTGGAGAGGCAAGGGTGGCAGTTAGACCAGTAAGAGTCGGCGCGGCATTGGAGACGGACGTAGACATTATTGGGACCTTCACCGTGGGAGGCGTCGCCGAAACCGTCGCGAAGATCGCCGCTAGAGAACAAACGGACGACACGGTTGACGTTATCTTCGAATGGGCTTCCTTTCTGGTATTTCCCTTCACTGTTGAAGCATTCGTGGTGAAGATAATCATTGGTCAGGTTCATGATGCACGTAACGCTGCGTGCAAGGAGGAGTTGTATGGTCACAAGGGACAAGATTGGGACGACCAATCCAACAAATGAAGTCATTGTTTGCGATCTTTTGATGATATATATGTTTCCGGTAGATGAAATTTTTTTTAGGAGAGACGAGTGATTATGGCTATTAATTACTTGAGATGATTTTTTCATATTTAAGAAATGCTTTTTTATAGTTTGTCACGGACAGGAGAGAGAGGAGACTTGGTAGTTGGTATTTGCGGCGATGGGAGAGGAAGGACCATGAAAAAGTTAAAAGTTCGAATGTTTTGTCTTGTTGCATACATCTATGAAATATATTTTGAATTTTTTTGGATACATGGTAAATTTTGATTGTATGCAAGAATTATAGTTTTGTGATTATGCAGCACATGCTTATAATATTATTTTCTTTAATAACATAACAGTTTTACTTCAAAAGTATAATATTCTTCATAGTGTTACAAGATTCATCTAAAATAAGTTTTACATGGTGCTAAGAGCAAGCTCAATAGAGACACAATTGTGGGTGTCTTATTGATTCATTATTAATATTTTGGGTGTTTTTGTATATAAGATACTTTGTAATATTTTGTTGTTTTTAGAGCATACAATGGAGACACTTTTGATGGATGTCTTAAAAAAAAAAAAATATATATATATATATTTATTAATAAATTTAAGTAAAAAATTTTGTTAACAACTTTTAAAACATATTACATTTTCAAAAATGTAATACAGTAGAAATTTTTATAAATTAATATTTAATAAATTAATAAATTCGATAAATTAATACTTTTGTTAGGTCCCGAGTTAGACCGATCCAAAATTTAAAATATAGTCCTATTTATATCATAAATTAATAAATATCATATAAAATATTTTTATATAATTATATAATAATGATAATCTATTAAATATAAGTATATTGTTGTTTTTTTTACTAAAGTTAAAATATTTTTATCATTTATCTCTAATTTTATAATAAAAATTTTGAAAAATATTATAAATTTAAAAGAAAATATTATTTTAATTAATTATTAATAAACAATTTATTTTATCTAAAACTGATAAATTAATAACTCTATAGATTAATAAAATATCGAAGTCCCAATATTATTAATTTATAAAGTTTCTACTGTACATGAAAGCATATAAATTATTATTATGTAATTCAAAAACTGAAATTTTTCATCGTCCATTCACATTTTGCAACATGTGCGTTCTTAATTTAGACACTGATGTCTTATTTTAGACACTGGTTTAAAATATAAGATACCATGAGTCATTTTTTATTCAGTTTTATTGTTAAGAATATTTGTTTAGACTCTTCAAAGTTTCTATTGTACATAAAAGCATATAAATTATAATTATGCAATTCAAAAACTGAAATTTTTCATCGTCTATTCACATCTTGCCACATGTGCGTTTTTAATGTAGATACTTGTGTCTTATTTTAGACATTAATTTAAAATATAAAACACCATAAACCATTTTTTATTTAATTTTATTGTTAAGAACATTTGTTTAGACTAAGTCTAAACGATTAATTCATCCGAGCCTCAAAAGTACTTTTATCCTAATCGACACACTGTGTAAAGCCCAAAAGTCGTTACTCGTTATACCAAAAATGGGCCTGCAAAGTTATCCGAAGGCCCAAAGTCGCCGTTTTAACATTAAGGATTAGGGTTTCTGAAAAGGCTACTATAAATTCTGAATCTTAAAGCAACGTTTGCTAGCGGACGACGGCACACAAGCTTCACCCCAGATCAGAGTAGCGAAAATGGTAATTGTTTCTTCTCTTTCGAGCTGATTCTGTATTCGCCGAGCTCGTTTTGATATCAGATAGAATCGAATTAAGACCTTTGAAGAACAACAATCGTAGTATATCGATTCATTGTTTTTCAGATTTTTGATTTGAGCTTTCTCTCTTACCAAACTTTCTTAGTATTGCTTTTTTAATCGGTGCGTGTTTCGGTGAAATTATGCCTACTGGTTACAATTGATCATCTTAGGCCGTAAAATACACTATTTAATGATCTAAGTTCATTGTAGAATCTTACATGAAATACACACATTGTTCTGTTTTTTCGAACAATCAACTTTAGGTTTCTGGTTACCTAAGAGATTTGCAATTTGTGAGGTCTTGAAATGCTTCCTTGTTCTAGTTTTTAACCAAGGCCTTGTTTGTTTATGAAATGGCAGGTGAACATTCCGAAGACCAAGAAGACGTACTGCAAGAACAAGGAATGCAAGAAGCATACTTTGCACAAGGTGACCCAGTACAAGAAGGGTAAAGACAGTCTCGCTGCTCAAGGAAAGCGTCGCTATGACCGTAAGCAATCTGGTTACGGTGGTCAGACCAAGCCTGTCTTTCACAAGAAGGTAATATAACCACTTCTTACAGGTGGTATTTGTATTTGAATTACTTAAATCAAATGAGCAAGTTTTTAGTTATCATTAATCAATGTAGAGAACCTTGTATTGTTAGTGACTGTGAGCAAGTTTAGTTTTGAGAACCATCCGATGACAGAATCATGTGAAATTGAAAAACTTTTGTCGGTAATCGTAATGGGTTAAAGTCAGTTTTTGTTTTGGCTTAGACGTTTTTCTTGTAACCATATAAACAGGCTAAGACCACTAAGAAGATTGTCTTGAGGCTTCAGTGCCAAACTTGCAAGCACTTCTCTCAGCACTCGATTAAGGTAAAACGAACAATCTTCATACATCAAAATTCTTATTACAAAACTTTGAAACTTGTGATGATAAGTTGTTCTTACATTGTGTCGGTTTTGTTTCTGTTTCTTCAGAGGTGCAAGCATTTCGAGATCGGTGGAGACAAGAAGGGAAAGGGAACATCTCTTTTCTAAGTTGGTGGTTATATCTTAATTTCTACAAGTTTTGTACTTCGCTGGATCTTGCCTCCGTCTGTTTTAGATCTCGTATAAGATTGTTCATCTTTTCTTTGTTAACTCTATTTTGAATCATCAAAGAAAATGGTTTTGCTGTTAATCTTTGAATTTAGTCTCAACAAGTTAATGCATAAGCCATTTCTATCATAAGATTCATTTCGTTGCAACGATTCTTATTGTTGTTAAAACTGTCCTTAAGATTTGTACAAAACCCTGAAAGGCTTCAACAAGCAGAAGGTATTGATTTTTGATATGTCAAAGCTTTTGAAGTAATCAGTAACAAATACTCTAAGCTCAAAAGGTTTTTGTACTGCTGCAACAAGCAGAAACTATTGATCTTTTATTACATTTCAAAGCTTGAATTAGGCAATAACGAATACTCTAAGCTCACCCCTATCCCCACGAGTTATGCGCATGTTACCATCAACAAAGGTGACTTCAAAATCTCCAGTTCCAGGGTTTGACGGTGGCCGGAAACTGTCGGGAAGCCTCGGGATATCAAACGGAGGAATCTGCGATAAATTTCCCGACGTCTTCACTGTTGTTTTCTGAAATGTTATCTTGATCTTGCAAGTCCCTGTTTTTTCCCATAACATCAAAGATACAGATTGTCATTAGCTCTTACACAAACCAATAATCTATCTAACGCTGCAAGTTAGCCTTAAGCGAGAAGCGAACCTAAGAGTTCAAATTTGTGAGCCAGTGTCGCAGTGGCTTCTAGAGGCGGAAATGGCCATGGAGCTCCTAGTTCCACTTCCGCTATGTTATCGAAATCTTTGCTAAACACATCAATCCTTTGAAACACCTGGTACAACACAAGATTCCACAGCTCATGAATCCACAAACCAGTGACTCGGGGAAGTTAACATTGCCAAAAGCTACAATCCTGGCATCATCATCATTCAAGCAGCTCAATCAATAGTAACGATGACAGACCAGACCCATGCACAGCGATAGAATCGAACACTAAAAACCCCAAAAAGCAAGCTCTTAACGGGTCAAAGAAACAGAGCATGGTTCAAGAATCATCACGAACATACCTGGCCAAGAGTTACAGGAATCAAACGTCCGGTGGGTAATCCAGGACGACTACCACCTAGAGATCTTGAAGAGAAGGCGCTGCTATACAGTAGCCTCCACTTCCCTTGGAGCTTGTCAAGATCATCGGTCAGATCAACCGGCCCACCAGCGTTTTCAAGCTCCTTAGCAGCGATCTCAGCTCTCTGCAGATCATCTACACTTGCCACAAGTCCTCTGTTTAATCCCGAGACCACACTCTGCAATTTTTTCCACACAAACACACAAAATCAATTTGCCAGCAACATGAAGAAACCCCTTTAACGAGAAACCTAATTTCAAAGACGTCGCGAAGAAACGATTTCGATGGTATCTTCTAATTTACTTATGTTGTCTTCCTAATTCGATGAGACTCACCAGTAATTTGAGTTTAAGCGATTCGATTCGCTCGTCACCTCCCGATCCAGATGTCGACGGGTCGCGGAAGGAGACTTCTCCGATTGTCGAATTCACGACGACGAGATTTTTTCTCCTCTCAGGTACAGCGAAACCCAAACGAGACGACCTGGGAGCACCAGGGAGCAGTGGCGAGGAAGAAACGGAGCATCTGCTCGGCGGCGGAGAGCGGTGGTCGGAGAGAAGAGCCGGTGATGAACGTAGAAGTGAGGAGAAAGTAGAAGAAGCCGCCATGGGAGAAAAATCGAAGAAAAGTTTTGAGATATTTTTAGGGGAAGTGAAGAAGGAGAAGAAGAAGCATCTACACAGAAAAATAGAATCTTCTCTTCTCTTCCTCTTTTATAATTTTTTTTTATGTGATTTCAGAAGCAAACACGAATGGGGCGCGTAAGCTGTCACGTTTCTATATACGTGTATATAAACAAATGCATCACACATTCGCATTTTTGGATTAAAACGGTGTCGTTTTTCAATTACAAATTTGTTTTTGGTGATTTTATTGTTTCAATAATTGGAGGATTTACTATTTGGGGGATTTACTAGGGCATGAGTTTTCATTAGTAATTAGCATCTACCAATAATATTGGTCTAAATATAGTTAATGAGAAAAAAACAATAGTTGGTGTGAGGATTTTGCAAATCATTTGGCACTTTTTGTTTCACACTTGATTCTAATTTTCTATGAATGGAAATATTGGACAAAAAGATGTCTGTGTACTTTATCATGTTTTCTAGTCATAATTGTAGATTCACGTTTTCTCACTATTGTGGAATCATATTATTCTATTATAATTGTGGAATCATATTTTTGTTAGAAACTTGAAAATGTATTTTATGTCGAAAATGCAATATCTCATTTTTTTTCACCACGTATAAAATAATGCAATATTTCTTTTTTTTTTTAAGAACTTCTCTTGATAAATTTTTATATTCAACATTTAAATTTATGAAAATAAACTAATTTAACCATTGAAAAATTTGTCAGCAGAAGATATCTGTTTTTAGTCGCTTTCTTAATTGTTGCATCCACATGCTATTATTATTACTAATAGAATTACAAAATTAGAACCGAACATCATTTGACTATAACATCTTAAATGCTACTTCTGGATACTGCATATGGCTGCTAGTCCAAAATACACAAACAAACTAGGTCTAAAAAGATGGGCTCGTTCGCTGAAGAGTTATCATTTATCAAGCAGGCCCAAGTTTATCGTGGCACAAACTCAAGTTGTTGAGATGTTTTAACGATATGAAAACGGAGTAGCCCTTAAAAGTTAAAATCTTCTTCTTCTCTTCTCCTTCCTCAAGTTGGTTAAATCATATAGCGAAAGAGCAAGTGTTAGAGAGAGAAACGATTGTATCTGTATCAATAAAAGTGGATGATGCATGCAAGATGATTCTTTTTTCGAGATGTACACTCACGGTTTTATGTGAGGAATTTGTAAACCTCGTCTCGCAGTTACATTTTTGGCAAACAAAGATCGATAAATAAAGAATCAAAGAGATATCCAATATAGAACAGCATTCTCTATTTTATTTTACTATAAAGAACTTATTTGATAGATAACATGTAACAGAATATAAACCATCAGTTAACATACGTTATAATCAAGCCTTTTAGCAAAAAAAAAAAAATATGTTACAATCTACTATAATCGAATTTTGTTAGGGTTTAGGAATCTTATCTTAGCCAAAGTTAAACTTGTCTATTGAACTGAATCATACATGCCTGTCCAATAAAAGACAACACATGTATCAGACAAAATCAAAATGTTTTGGTATGTCGTGTCAAGTTTCATTTATTGAACCAAAATATATAAAATCAAAATTGGTGGCTCAAAATCATACCACAAACTGGAAGATGCATTGAGATCAGCGAGTCACGTTATCATATTTATTGATTGGTTGTTATCAAAACTGCATGTTATATATATATAACATGTACCTGATAAAATACGTGTTAGCTAACTATTTGCTCCACAAGATCGTTTTGGTCTTTATGTGTTGATTTGGAGTCGAGGCATCGTCGTGAGTCCGAAATCAAGCGGTTGATAATATCATGACACGACGGCTTAAACTTAAGAGCAAACTCTTTATGTGTAAACTACTAACTATATACTCCTTCCATTTTTTAAAGGATGATTTTTCACACATATTGAGATATATTTTAATAATTATTTTTATTTTACTTTTTAATTACTTTTTAATTTTTAATAATATATTAACATCGCTTCTTTCTTCTTTATTGATGCAAAATTTCTTGTAAAACTAAATACATTATTTAAAATAGTAAACATCAAACTTTTAAAAATAAAGAAAAAAACTAAAACATTTTACTTTAAAAAAAAAGAGAAAGTATATAGTAGACTGCCGTACATTTTGTCTTTAATAAATTTAACTGCATGATATTTTTTCATTCGTAAAAATAATTGTGAAAACTTTTTTGCCATCTGTTATTATTAAACATTCAAAGAATTTTAAGTCGGTGAAACAATAAAATATCCTTAAAGGTAAAGACCAAAAAAAGAAAGTAAATCAGTAGAAAATTAAATTTTCCCAAAAACAAAATCTATAATTAAAATAAAATAAAATTAATTAAAGCTCAAACAAGATATTAACACCAAAACTTGTAGAATTATATAAAATTTGAGAGTCTATAAACGTGATTTACTATTGTCGTCCACGGCCATCGAACAGTAACATCATCTTCTAGTAATCAGGAACCGAAGACTTCATAACCCGATAAGATAGAACCATTAACATTTCCGTATGTGGCAACAACACAAACATGTGTGCCCATTTTTCAACCTAAATAGAAGTTCTAAAGAAACAGTCAAATCTCAACAGATCTGGAGAAAAGCTAAACTAACCAATAAAAACTGAAAACCGATGATAGAATCTTCACAAAAAATAAGAAAAACATGCAAGTTTAGAATCAAAACACCAAAAAAAAGAAAAGTAAAAATATCTACTTAGAAAAAGAGAACTAAATTTGATAAAAAGATCAAAAATCACAAATTAGTTATAGATCTGATGAAGCAAATTTCATCAAAATTCAGAAAAACCAAATTCAAATTAAATTTACTTAAGTCAAAAACTTAAAAACAAAACCATAAAAAAAGAATGGAAAATCCAAACCGAAACTATGGCTGTGACCCATGGCTCCGCCGGAAATCAACACATGAGATCTATAATTGTGAAAACTTTGTTAACTTTTTTTGTGCAAGAAACTTTATAAATTTAATTAAATTTGTCTAATTAAATGATATGGTATCACACGCTCACTTAAAAAATCTCTTGTTCTCCACCGGCATTCGGATTTCGAACATGATCTTGAAGACTCTTCCCAATGTCAAGCTAATGGATCACTTCGGTTACTGATATTAAAAAAAGAAAGTTTTTAAAATACTAATATCAGCGTATACAATATTCTATAAGAAAATCAAATAATAAATGATTTTCATGGCTCTTAAATCAAGATTCTAACCTGGCCAGAAGATATGTTCAGGGGCGGGAAAAGTCTTAAAACTGACTTATTCTAACTGTAACTAATTTATGACAACTTGCCTGTTACATTTTTAATTGTCTCCACCCATACATTTGACTTCCAAGCACTTTGGTTTATACAATAATGCATACAGTTCAAAGATAAAAAATAAATAATTATTAACAAATAATTATTAATAAAACAAATAAATTATAAAACTAAAAATAAATATTTATAAAAAATTTGTAAAGCTTAGAAAATATTATTTTTTGTGTGTCCAAATCAAATGAACCAAATATCTATTTTGCTATATAAAAAAATATTTATATATTTAATTGGTTATGAAATAATTGATATTAAATCACTGAGATGAAAAAAAAAAAAAATCTAAATAACAAATCAGAATTCAGCTCATATTGTTATTTCTATATAAATATCTAATTTATTTTTCGGTTCAATCAAATTAAGACACATGGTAGTTACTTTTACTTTTCAACCAAATTCAATATGTTAATTAATTTAACACTGATTTCTCCACATAGATTTTAACACATATTTCAACATTCCATTACATACAATTAACTGTTGGATAAATTATTCAACATACCTATTGTAAGTAACTAGGTATTTATCCGCGCTATACTACGGAATATTTTTCTAAATTTTGTATATATTTTTAATATAATAAAATTATTATTATAATGTAAATGAGTATTATATTTTTTTTATTAGTTTAAATTATGTATTTATATTAAGTTATGTATTACTATGTTTAAATCTGAAAAAACATTATATACTTATTTATTTTTTTAAAATTATAATTTGCTATTAAATTTAGTTAGCTAACTAATTACAAATATATATATAGGAATAAAATATATAAAAATAAAGCAATACATTTTTAGTACATTCATGCTAATGGTAAATGTAATCTATTTTCTCCATTAAACTGTCATTTAATCCTCCTTTGTAATTATATAAAGCAAAATGCTATTTAAAAAAAAAATTATTAATTAATAAAATTATTTTGAATTATAAAATTTATTTATATATCAAATATTTTATTATAAACATATGTTTCTAAAACTACCAAACTATAATCAATAACATTCATACCAAAACCATTGCTATTGCTTTAGAACTAAATAGAAAATTATGTTTGAACTCTTAAAATATCGTTTTAGTTAAAGTTAAATAATTAAATTTTGGTTACTGTAAATATACTTTAACTTGGAAATTTGGCACAGAAAAATTTCATCTTCTTACAAAAATCGAGAAATCGCATTTCCGTCAAAACAAAAAAATTTATTTTCCCATTAAACTGAGAAATCATCTATTTCTGCCAAAACCAAAAAAATCATTTTCTTTTCAAACATAAAATATAAAATTTCATTTTTCCGCGAGAATCTGTGTTTTTTCACCAAAACCGAGAAATTACGTTTTTCACAAAAACCAAAAAATTTCATCTTTCTGCAAAAACAAAAAAAGTTGTATTTTCCTGCCAAAATTAAAAAATTTATTTTTCCTGCGAAAACTGAGATAATCGTCTATTCCTGCTAAAACAAAAAAAATATATATTTCCTGCGAAAACCAAAAAAAAGTCAAGAATCACGTTTTTCTACAAAAATAAATAAACTATAATTTTTCGCGAAAACCAAAAATTGTATTATCTCCCGTGAAATTGTGTTTTCCCGCGAAAAATAAGAAATTGTTATGTTTTTATTATTATTTATTTGTTGTTATTGATTATTTGGTTTTGGTTTTGACAAAAAAAAAGAAAACAATGATTTTTTTTTTTTTATTTATTCATTATTTGGGTTTGCATTTGGCAAAAAATAAAATAATAATTTTTTATTTGCTGGTATTAATTATTTGGGTTTGGGTTTGGTAATAAATAAAACAAAAATTAATAAAAAAATATTTAGGTTTTCAATGAGTTTAAGTTTAAGAATTAAAATAAGTAGATGAGATGTATTGATAAAATGTTTTGATTGGTGATTATTTTTGCTGAGGTGTCATGTTTATAAAGCTTCAAAAAGCTGAGGTGTCAAGCCATGAAAATACTTTAGTGTTATTGTTGTGTTGATTTTATTGATTCGCACATATTTGATTTAATTTACTACAAATTGAACAGTTTAGTCATTAAACACGACAGATGGCCCAATTAAGTTTATAAAGATGTAGGATTGATGGAAATTCCCGATTTGAAGATTAATTCATCGTATTGGTGCCTAATTACATTTAACAATGCCTAAAAGCTAGTTTGTTGGGTAAACTCTACGTATATTTCTTTTTGTTTTTAACTGTTAGTTTGTTTCAACTAAAGCATACTAGTTTCGTTAGGTAATACTAGTTTTTTTAAGCTAATAACCTAATACTATTGAGTATTGACTTATATATAACAGTAGTTAGCCGCATCATTTTCATAATAATTAGTATGCTTTGCTTGAAACAATTTTTCTTGGCCTAAAAAGGTGTACTAATCTAAGTGTCGGAAGAGGAAAGAGAATAATTCTGAAATTTTTGTTTTTTTGGTTATCTTGAATTTTATTAATTTTTTTTAAAAAGATACATAAAATGATGTATTGAAGGAGGGAACTGTTAATTAGGAGAGAACACATTAAATTAAATGATTAAAAATTTGATGGATTTATCTTTTTCTTCATTAATAAGTTTAATGATTGGAGATTTTTCAATAGTTCAGTATATTGTTTCTAATTTATTAAAGTCAGAAATCACTAATCTGTTCAATCTATACGAAAATTATTTTGACCCATAATTAAATTTTGGAATCCACCTGAAAAAAAAAACACAATAGAAAAAAATAACCAAACCAAAAATACCTAAAACCAAATGTAGATAAACAAAACCCAAAAATCTATAAACTACATAAGTAAATCAACCTATAAACATGGGCTCACAACTCTAAAAATCAGAGATCTAAAAAATCAAAACCCTCAAACAAAGCACAAATCCCATATCTGCTCTAAATTTTTAAAAAGTAAAACTCTGAAACTAAAAACTTGATTCAAGAACAACATTGAAAAGCTAGAAACAAGATTCAAAAGACAAAGTTTAAATGAATGAATTTAACTTCGATGGTGAAGAAACCATTGAAATTGGTAAAAAACAGCAGCACTATTTTTAAAAAATATATAAATATTATTTTTAAAATATATAAATTTTAATTTAAAATATATAAATAAATACTATTAAAATGTGAATGTGTTATATAAGACGTAGAAACATAAATATGTAATTTTTTAATTAATTACATGAATTTTCATATTTATCATGAATCTACTTATAAATAAATACGTGAATATCGATTATGAATTTATTGTTTTTGATGGTTCTATTATGGGTGTTCTTATTTTCGTCTTCATTTTTTTCTAAAATCCCTTGAGATTTGGGTGTGACTTCTTTGGGTCTTTTATCTAGCCGAAAATGAAGCGCATGTGTGCGTTCTGCAGCCATATCCAGATGTATGGTGAATAGTTTGATGGTTTTGTCTTATTGGGTTATGAAGTTTTCGATTGCTGATTTCAAGAAGGGAATGTTATTATTTGGTGAACTGTAAGCGGCAACGATAAATCTCACTTGTAAATTTTTAAAAATTCTGAAAATTTGTTGTTTTAGAGCCTAATGTCTTGGTTAGATTTTAAATTAATTTAGTTTTGTTTTAAATGGGTTTTATCTTAAACTAGTTTTTGCATTCCATTGTTCGACATTTTATTTTCACAAGAGTTTTGTCATTTGCCGACCTTTGTATTTCACAATCTCTTTTAATGAAATTTACAAGATGACAATAAAAAAAACCGATTATGAATTTTTAGATTTGGAAAGTCAATATATGTATTAATTAGATTAGACTTTATAATGTACGTGTGGGTGCCGCAAGGATTATATATATCTGGAGTCTCAAAGACGTCGGTTGGATTCGATTTTCCTTGAGAACAATCAAATTACCCATGAACTACTTTGTGATTCAGGCCTGGAGGAGCTTGTAACTTGTTCATCTCCAGGTTGAGTTTGACCTGGTGTTAATTAAAAAAAAAGTAGTTTCATATATAGATAAGCGATAGTATTAAATACCAAATTTTATAGGTATATATGTCTTTTGTCCCAAAAACGTAACGAATGGTGTATCAATTATGTATTTATATAAAATTATTACGAAATCGTGAGAAGAAACCGAGAACACGTAGGCCGTATAGCAAAAGTAAGCTTATGAAAAACGTTATTGGTTGTCGCATTAATTAACTCACGAGTCACGAATTTGGCTACCAAGTCTCAAATTGTGGTTTATAGAGCATCGCACGTGAAACTTTCTTCGTGTCTCCGAGAGAACTTTTCTATCCATTTCGTTTTTTCTTTTCTTGTAAGTATATCACTTTTCTGAACCTCTTACCATTGATTATTAATCATTTATTAACCTTTCCTACAGTTGCCCGTAGTTATCAAATGTCACAACCTCGAAAATGACTTTTGCCACATCTTCGGTCCTCAATCGTCACTTAATTGTATTCTACTCCCTGTATTTTGCAGTTATTGAGTGTTTTTCCACCATTTGAGGGACAATTAAAAATCTATCCATCATCTTTAAACTTTAAATTACAATATTTATAGTCCGACTAGTCGTCAATTATAAGAATATATAATGGAATAAAAATATTTTCTTACTAATTCTTCAATTTTCCTCTAAAATAGTAAATGAATGTTTCCTTCCATATTTTGTAATCCAACACTATTTTAGAGGACTGTTGATAAATTTAACACATGGCAATTTATCAAAAAATTTATTCAAACTAATTGATAAAATTTAGAAAAATATTTAATTTCACCAATTTTTGTTATTCTAAATATTCAACCAACCACCTGCAGTTTTAGTTCATTTTCTCATATAACAAAGTTTAGGTTAGTAAATAAATTGAATAATTCTTTTAAAATAAGCCATGTGTTATACCAAAATTAACTAAATTCTGTATATTTTCAAAATCATTAAAATGGTCTAAAACTAAATCATAAATCTTCAATCATAAATCTTTAAAGCTAAATTCTGAAAATGATATTTATCTTATATGTATTTCTTTTTTATATAAAACTAGTCTATTTTTATTTTTAGCTTTAAGTTTAGCTATTTTTATCAATTGTCCCTTATACGTTTTAGTGGTTATGCATCATTTTTTGTAATTTAAAGAGGTGGATATGCATCATATTCCATAATTTAAAATCTGGTCCAAATTCGTAAAACGTCAATGATCAAAACCAATCCGACAGAACTGTCCTGCGAGAAAATAATTAATATCCTGTGTAAATACGACAAATAGAAAAAAATTCAATCATGAAAAAGAAACTAGAGACAAAACTCGGGGGTTCTTTTCGCAATTTTGTATTTTTTTCTAATTTCATATAATGCAGACAGCTGTATCTTAATCTCTCTCTATATATGTCTGTGGAGTTCCTATTTCTAAACTCAAACAAAATTTCCAGTTTTTGACATAATTAAATCGAATTAAAGACTTAAAAAGGTGATGGGTAAGCACACAGACGTCAAACACTTTGGCTACCGGAACGTTACGGCGGCTGAGATGGAAACCTTAGCTAGCTTCTGCGAAGCCGTCTTGCCTCCAGTGCCGCCGCCGAAGACGAAAGAATTTTCCGGCGAAGATGATCACCACCGGAATAAAGAGGCGCTCCGATCATTTTACTCAATTTCTGGGTCTCAAACTCCCGTCGTTCGTCAGGTGCACACACTTTCTCTGTTTTACTGATCCAATGCTCTGTTTTTTTAAAAATGCTCAAAGATTGGATTTTTTTACAAAATTCATCATCTTAAAGATAACTTTTTTCATTTCTGGATTAGACGGAGAGTCTTGGCTAAATTTGGATATTCGGTTATAAATCTTTCAAAAGAAACATACTTTTTTGAGTTTTTAAAGTCAAAGATGTTTTTTATTGGATGCAGACGATTGACTTGATTATTAAACGAGGAACGATAGAAGCTTATCTTGCAACGAGACTTGTTCTGTTCTTGCTTGCTACTCGTCTTGGCACGTTAGTAATATGTGGGTCCGAATGTTTGGTCTCGAGCTGGCCTTTTGTCGAGAAATTCAGTGAGCTGTCTCTGGAGAAGAGGGAAAGAGTACTTCAGAAACAATTCAAGAATTGGATTTTGACTCCCATTAGAGCTGCTTTTGTCTACATTAAAGTCGCTTTCCTCTTCTGTTTCTTCTCACGGGTATGTCTTAAATCCTCTGTTTTTTTCACTTCAAGGCTTGTATGAGTCACAAAGATTATGTGCATTTCAAATTATCCGTATTCAATCTGGATTAAATCGAAGATTAATGATATTGTTTATGTTCTTCTTTAGTTACTATACACAAAACCCCAAAAATCTGGAGAACTCGAACCAGAACCTCTGTTTACAGAAATCTTTGTGACTTATACAAGCCTCGGAGTGAATAATATGAATTCATACTAGATTATGTTTTTTTTTGGTTACTATACTAAATTATCTTAAATCCTCTGTTTTTTATTTTTCACTCCAAGGCTTTGTAAGATTCTGTAAATTTTAATATAGGTGTTCAATTTGAATAAACCAATCTAAATCCCTCAAGAAATGCATAAACATAAAGTTCCAAAATTCTGAATATATTTAACATAAACTGTACCAATTAACATGAGATTTACTTTTAGTTTGGTACTATACATTATCAAAAGAATCCAAAATTTTGAAACTAATCCCTACCAGACGGATTTATATAATATGTGCTTTGGAAAAAGAACCTAGAAAAATGTGGAAGACTCGAATTTAAAAGGATATTTGCAGATGATTTTTACTCTATTCAAGATTTAATGGATTTTTCTGTTGCTTTTGTGTAGGTGAGTCCAAATGGCGAAAACCCTGCATGGGAAGCCATAGGGTATGGCGTGAACTTCGATGAGAACAAACCTACAGAAATTCACAAACAAAGACCTCTTGAGAAAGGGATAGTGGAGACGATGAAAGAAACAGAGCAAACTCTCCTCGAGTCACTTTCTCAGAAGGGCCTAGAAGTAAACCACGACGCAGACCACAATGCGATCAGGATCAAATGCGACGCTGTGGTGGTCGGATCCGGTTCAGGAGGAGGCGTAGCAGCTTCTGTTCTAGCGAAAGCTGGTTTCAAAGTGGTTGTTATGGAGAAAGGAAGCTACTTTACACCGTCGGATTATCCTTCTTCCGAAGGTCCTGGCATGGACAAACTCTATGAAAACGGAGGGATCCTCCCAAGCGTTGATGGGAACATTATGGTTCTTGCTGGATCAACCGTAGGTGGTGGATCTGCTGTGAACTGGTCTGCGTGTATCAAGACGCCGAAGTCTGTTCTTCAAGAATGGTCAGAGGATCAAAAGATCCCTCTCTTCTCATCCAAAGAGTATGTTTCTGCTATGGAGACAGTGTGGAAGAGGATGGGAGTCACGGAGAGATGTGAAATGGAGGGTTTGCAGAACCAGGTTCTGAGGAAAGGCTGCGAAAACCTCGGTATCAATGTCGAAAACGTGGCGCGTAACTCCTCGGAGAAGCATTACTGTGGATCTTGCGGGTATGGATGTAGAAAGGGAGAGAAGAGAGGAAGCGACCGGACTTGGCTCGTCGACGCGGTGGATCACGGCGCAGTGATTCTAACGGGATGTAAAGCGGAGAGATTCATACTCGAAAAGAACAGAGGATCAGGCAAGAAGATGAAATGTTTGGGAGTGATGGCGAGATCTTTAAACGGAAACATAGCCAAGAAGATCAAGATCGAAGCTAGAGTAACGGTTTCAGCAGCTGGTTCTCTTCTAACACCTCCACTGATGATCTCAAGCGGGTTGAGAAACCGGCACATCGGTAAGAACCTTCACTTACACCCTGTTCTAATGGCGTGGGGTTACTTCCCGGACAAGGAATGTTCTAGCTTCAAGGGAAAGTCTTTCGAAGGAGGGATCATAACATCAATGAGCAAAGTTTTCTCACACGATTCAGAAGTTAGAGCCATCATAGAGACACCAGCACTAGGACCGGCCTCATTCGCGGTTCTATCCCCTTGGAGCTCAGGGTTTGAGATGAAGAAGAGTATGTCAAGATACTCAAGAACCGCGAATCTCATAACGATAGTTCGTGATCGCGGTTCAGGAGAAGTGAAAACCGAAGGCAGGATAAGCTACACTGTTGATAAAACCGATAAAGAGAACCTCACGTCCGGGCTTAGACAGTCTTTGAGGATACTGATCGCAGCTGGAGCAGAGGAAGTGGGAACTCATAGAAGCGACGGGCATAAACTTGTATGCAAAGGGGTCGATGAGAGGTCGATAGAGGAGTTCTTGGACTCGGTGAATGCAGAGGAAGGACCAAAGGCGATGACAGAGAGATGGAATGTGTATAGCTCAGCTCATCAGATGGGAAGCTGTAGGATTGGAGAAGATGAAGAAGAAGGAGCGTTGGATTTGAATGGTGAGAGTTGGGAAGCTGAGAAGTTGTTTGTGTGCGATGCAAGTGCGTTGCCTAGTGCTGTTGGTGTTAATCCTATGATCACAATCATGTCTACGGCTTATTGTATCTCCACTAGAATCGCTAAGTCCATGACCGCAAGTTTATCTCACTGAAGCATAAAATAAGTTTGTGTGCTGTTTGTATGATAATAGTGACTTTTTTTTTCCTTTTCGGTTAGTGGTTGATTTTTTTTTTGTTTTTTTTAATCAAGAAATAAAGTGTGTTTGATTGGAGCAAATAGTGACATTCTTTATTAAGAAGAGTTGAACATAAAAACTCAAATCACAATTTACAAGAAAATCAAATATGAACTGAGAAGTTAAATTGTCTTTGTCCGGTTTTAGACTTGGAACGTTTTACAAATCAAGAATCCACACTAGTCCCCTGTTTTTCGACATTTTTTTTTTTTTTTTAAAAAGGATAAATGGTTAACGCAATTTCCGGTTTTCACCAAGGTTTCTCCGATTATGGAGAATCCAAAATGCTTCAAGACTATAAACCCTCCAATGTTTTATCTTTGTTTAACCGTCAGAGTCCATGTCACGGAACGGTAAGGGTACAGTCTTCACTGCCCTAAAGTGACCGACATTGTTCAAATGTTCATTCTCCACTCTGAAATTACAAAAGGTAAATACAGTTTTATACGTAAATAACATCCAAAATCAAGTTTAAGAGACAAATATCTAAACTTCGGTGAAGTTTTTTTTTCTTTTACCTGTAGAAATTCCAATGGCCTCGACGAATGACTTCAAGTGAAGCTAATAAGAAATCTAGCAAATGAGATTGAACAGGATTGACCCTGAATCTTATTATTGTCTCGATCCAAGCAACTCGCAGTACCAAATTCAACGCCTGAACGAGAACAAATCAATTAGTAAAAAGACCTTAACTTGTGAAACACGTTAAATAATTTTGATGTGGTTTGACTTACAATGGAGAGATAGTAGATGTTCTTGTTCTTGAGGACCAACTCGTCCCTTAGCCATGGATTCTTGGATTTAGGGTTTAGAAGACCCCAATCCTTGACAAAGTCCCAGTATAACTGGTAAAGCGTGGCCACGACGGAGCTCACAAGCACGACGGCTAACCACAAGCTGTTGTTTTCTCTTGCATAGGTTATGCGGACTCCGGCTGCAACCATGGCCGAAACGTATTTCCCCATGTTGACTAAGTGATCAGTGTTCGATTCGTCCCACCATCTCCTTATACACTGTAAATTAATGTGTATAATGTTAACTTTAAAGTTTATAAGGGTTTTTTGATTAATAAGAAAGAGAGGAAAAAAAAAACCCTAAGGGAGCTTACTTGCATGGCACGCCAGAAGTAAGGTGAGAAAGAGATTAAGTAAGCAAGTTCTCTATAGATTCTTCCGTTTTTGCAGGTATTGTATTCGTGTGTTTTGAAGCTTTGAGCCATGAAGTAACATGCAGTTGACTCAATGTGTCTCAACAAAGGAATCTGAATTGAATATTAATAAGTTAAAACGCGATTAACGGGTTAATTATTGACTAAATGATATCAATTGAAGTTTCTTTAGTTAATTACCTGGCTTGTAAGTTGATCAGCCATGAAGAAATCAACCATTAAGACCTGTTCATACAAAACCCATTAAGAAAATCACGTTTCTGCAGATTTCTTGTGATAGAAGTCACCAAAACAATCCCAATACCTTGTAGAAAGGTGAGCAAACGATGTTCCGCAAAATACGAATGAAGCAGAATCTTGTAGGACGATAGAATGTGTCGAAGGGGCATATCAAGACACAAATGAAGATCTGCCATAGAATCAAAAATAAAATTAGCGTTTTGAATTGAAACGCGACTGCGTTGATATGATAATTAGCTAATTAATAAATTTACCAGGAGGAGGATGCCTGGAATGGTGTCAACTTCGCTGGCGGAGAAACCGGCGGCTCGGAGAATGAGGTGTATAACCAAAGCGGCCACGACTGCGGTCATAAACGTGGTTCCCATCAGAAACGCGTCTCGGTAACGCAACGCTGTGGTTGGTGAGAACTCGAATATGAAAGTGTAGTTTATCCTCGTGTTCTTCCACATGAACAAATTGCATCCGTACATGAACATGTGTAGACTCAGCAACGCAAAAACGCTGCGTTAACAAAAAAATATATATATCAAATTAATTAAACAATTTTTGTGACAGTCTTTTAATTGTGAACGATGTAATGGAAATAATTAAACAATTTTTTTGTAACAGCCTTTTAATAAATAAAAAATACCTGAAAACAGGATAAACAGTCTCCAAATATGAAACTTGAGCACCAGAGGTGAATACTCCAGAGAGATGGGCCAAGATTATGTAAATACTAAACAATGAGACGAAGCAACCCGTAAATAATCCTGCAAAAAAACACAATTTCACTTTGTTAAGTTTCTTGGTGATTTTTAAAAAATGTAAATAAAATAAGTAAAAGTTAAAAAAACAGAGACGAATAAAAAGTAGTACCAACGAAGAAAGTGACCATGTGAGAATCTTTCTGCTGGTGGGGTCTTAAGAATTTCATGGCCTTTTTTCTGTCATTGTTGGCGAAGTGCTTCGTGAATATGGACTCCACTTCGTCCATCAGTCTCACCACCTTATTTTTTTTTTTAATAATCAAAACCACCAATTATTTTTAGTCTTTTTTATAAAAAATGATTTACTATAGCATTAGTCATTACTAAACAATTACATAGACCTTTTTATTCCACTCATATAATACCTTATCAGAGCTGGTAAATTGCGATCTCTTTACGACTCTTAGATAACTTGATGATGCTTGCTGACCAGAAACCTGTTGGTCCATATATCAAGGTTCATCATTAAGCTTAAGCACTATAATTTATCTTTTTATTCAAAATATTTGGTAGAATAACGAAATTAATAACCATCTATATAGCTATTTTACCTTATCGAATTTCTTCAATATTTTTGTAAACGCAATCATATTCAACGAGCTGTCCATAAATCAAAAAGTGAACACAAGAATTAGAATCGTAGGATAATATATGGTTATAAGAAGAGAAATTGAATTAATGAATCAACCTGTATGTCTTTAGCAATCCAAGACCTCTATAGAGCTCAACAAACGCTTTTCGTATCATCTTCTCAGCGCATTGGATCTTTTTGCGGTTGATGAAATCTCCACCGCCGCTTCTTGGGTTGTTAACAAGCTCCTCCCAAAGAACTGACGTGGCAGTCGCGATGGATCTTGCACCGCCACCGTCTGCTCCGGCTACGGCGTCGGGAATATCGACGCGGAGAGACATTTTGGGCTTGCCTCCTTTTGTTTTGCTCCTTGTTGCAGAGTTTATGAAACTCACACCGTTCCTCTCTAACGCCTCTAAGATTTCGTCTGTTCTTGATGTTTCACTTTGTGTCTCACTTAGTTCTCCTGGAGAACCTAAAAATTAAAGGAAAAAAAAAACATTTAGTTTGTGTATCACCTAACAACAAAAGACATCAGATCTAAAGATGAAGAAGATTTTATTGTATCGATCTTGTCCATACGTAAAGATCATCTCTTGTCGGTCCATTTTTATTTTCTTACTCACAAACATTTGTTTGTTTGTTAGTAGAACCGATTTGGTTCTCATGTTCTTGTCGGCCATTGAATATATGTCGACATAAAATCTCAAAACTGCAAAAATCCTTTCAAACATTTTTCGCAGCTTCGATTTTTTCATCCACAGGGAGAAAAGATTCATAAGTTTTAAGTTTTAACAAATGTTGTCATTTCAATAGTAAGTAAAGATTTCTATTGTGTGTGTTCAGAAAAGAAAAAAGCATTTCAGGTTACCTGATAATTTTTTCCTATAAAGTCAATTTGTAACAACGTAAATTGTTTTATTATATATAAATATTAATTAGCCTACATTTCTTTTTACTAGCCGCACTACGTAAATTGGCCTTTAGGACATGCACTTTTATGGTTTCTAATGGGTGCAGGCCACGTCACAGTTCAGATATAAAATGGTAGCTTTTAAGAGTCGATGTCAAATTCCGAATTTACGAAAATACCCTAAATCTGACCTAACTTGTAATAAAAGCCTTAAATAAGAAGACTGACCTGCAGAGAAATCAGAGTTTCGAGCAGAAGAATTGAAGGAGGACCGAAGAGAATTAGATCCAGATAGGTTTCTCTTCTTCCGATCACCGAGGATCTGTTTGAGTTCTGCAAGAATGTCTAACTGTTTCTTCAGAATCTCTCCTCTCCCCACAAACTCTGTCTCTTTGGCCTTGTGAAACTGATTCACTTTGTTTAGTTCTTCATCCAATCTTGCGAAAAAGACTTTAACCTAAAAACAACAATGCAAATACTTAATCAAACAGTTAAGTCTTAAACAATTAAAAAATAATTCAAAAAGTAGTTCAAAGAAGTTTGACTATCTTCATTAGGATTTAGAAAGTGGGTGTTATGCAACTTAGGCTAGCAATAAAACCACTATTAGCTGCTTATTTATTTTGCTACTCTTCCAAAATAAGAAATTCCACCAATTTCTAATTTATATAAGAAAGAAAACTAGGAATAAAGACATAACAAACTCACAAGTCAGCACCCTCAATAACATTCAATTATAACAAGACGACATAACAAACTCACAAGTTATAGCATTAGAAAAATATACCAATAGTTATGATTTTGCGTCATAAATGAAATTATGCGAAAAGTAAAAAATGTTATTATAGTTATTATATACCTCGTCCTCCTCGGAAAACAACTGAACAAGCTCAGTTTGGTAAATCTCCTCAACGTCATCCCCATTTTCCGAGCTTTTTCTTCTCCTCACCTGTGAATCCACGAAAAATGACATCTCTAATATTAAATTTCAATTCATTTCATCCAACAAACTATACAAGTATCATATTTTTTGTTGTTGATATTTTCTTATACGTGTCATTGAATTGAATGGTTTTTAGGGTGACTTGTGAAGTTTGTTATGTCTTTATATATATCTTTTCGTCACGATGGTTTCGTGAGATATCACAATCTTCACAACCGTTTTTCGCTTCTTGGCTTTCGTGAGATGATGAAGAAAAAAAAACCTTATTTTGGAATTAGTGATATAACAAACTGTAATCGAGTCTAATAAGTAGGCAATTATTTCCGCAA